AGCCCTCGCCCTCCAACCCCCCGTCCCACCCCGGCGCGTGCAGCAGCTCCGCTAGCCCCTCCACCTAGCCCTGCGACCCGCTTTCCGTCTGCCCTCGTACCAGGGGCCGGTGTGTGCCAGCTCGGGGCTGGACTCATGGGAGGCAGGGGGAAGGGGCAGGATGCTCGGGGTGCGCGAGAGCCAAGGACCAACCGCTCCCTGGGTCCCCGGAAAGCACCCGCCCTGGGTCCCCGGACAAGCACCTGCAGCCACGCCGAGCCCAGCAAGGCTCCTCCGCCAACCGCATCGGGGTCTCTCCCTCCAGCAAAGCCTGTGAGCAGCCAAGAGCTGAGATCATCCCGGGGAGCAGGCAGGGGTCAGGCAGGCCCCGAGTCACCATCCGGCTGCCTTTTCCCCAGCCAGCATTGACCCAAACCCTGCGGCACGGCTCTGGGGCCTCCCTGCGCTGCCTCTCCCCCGGCACCACCAAAGCACTCGCTTCGGAGCCCCCAGAACAGGGGCTGTGAACCCCGCTAATGCCAAGGGGGGGAGGAGGCACAGCCCAGCCCCGGGGATGCGGCAGGGACCAGGCTCTGAGCCGAGGCAGCCCGCGGGGAAGGCTGGCGCCCGGCTACATTGGTACCGCTTCCCCCTTTCTCATGAGTCAAGCAGAAAACATAAATGAAAGGAGCAGAGGCGAAGCCGTCCCGGCCCTGCCACCCCCTCAGGGTCGGGGTTTCGTGACAGTTACAGGTGGATTCACCACCGAAGCAGCTGACTGGGCGCCGGGACAGCCCCGCGGAGGAGCCTCTCCCAGCACAAGGCCGGCGTGGTGCTGGCGAGGCCGCGGTTACTCACCGGCCGCTGGGTGCCCTGCTCACAGCCAGGGACGCGGGGTGAACTCATGCTCACGTGGAGGAATTTCCAACAAGAATTTGCTTGCAGCTTACAGCTTAGCAGGAAAGCATCACCGCTCCACCCAGCCGCACATCTGCAGCTGGCTGGCCGCAGGCACCCACTCCCCAAACGGAGGATGACGGGCAGCCCACCGCCCTCCCGGGCTGCTCCGGGGTCAGGGCAGGCGGGTTAGGGACAGAGCGAGTGTGATTTCCCTCCCCTGCCCAGCGCAGGTCTTGGCCACCTACTCTCCCATCACCCCCACCATCAAGCTCACCCTGAGATGAGGGGTTTGGGGAGCCCCAGGGCCCTGGGCTGCAGTCAGGAAACCAACCAGAAATGAAGCAAAGCCTCATTCTACAAAAGGACTGAAATAATTATAGAAAAAAAGCAGGGGGTTTGTCTCAGTCTCTGAAAGCCCATCGCGAGGCAGCAAGGGGATGCCTCTGGGAGGCCAAACGCAGAGGGAAGCAGCCCCCGGGCAGGGCCAGGCCGGGCCCGCAGTGACAGAGAGAGGCAGTCCCAGGCATCCCAGTCCCAGCCCCAGCATCCAGGTTCTCGTGGGTTTCCCAGCGGCTGCCCTGCAGCCCTCTCCTGCGCAGCAGAAGAGAGGTGCCCCACTCACAGAGCAGCGATGGCCTTGGCAGCGACACGGCGGCCCAGGGGCAGGCTGAGATCCGTGATGGCCAGGACAATTTTGGGACTGGACATGGTGGACACTTTCACTAGCTCCGAAACCTGCCCGGAGAGAGAAACACAGCTGACTCACAACAGCGCTGGAGACACGAGAGCCGGGCAGCGGGACTCCCCTGGAAGTGCCTGTCTGTCCCATGGGACCAGCGCCCCAGAGCACCCTGCGACCGGGGAGAAGGATGTCACGGCCGCGGGACTCACCATGGTGAAGGGCATGAACTGGAGGATGCTGCCGCGGCTGCCCTGCTCCAGGCAGTCCACGCACTCCTCCATGAACCACTGGACAAACTGGGTGTGGGTGCCGGCCGTCTTGGCCCCCAGGATGGAAGAGATGAGCAGGAAGAGGTTTGCTGTGGAGACAGGGAAATATCGAAAGCCGGGCCAGTTCAGGGAGGCCGGGGGTGGCCCAAGCCTCCTGCACAGGGGACAGGTCCCCGCCAGTGTCTCGGCATGGTTGGATCTGGCCAGGCCTCGCTGCTGGGTACCCCCCACTGAGATCCGGCCCCGCCATTACCTAGCACCCTGTTCAGCGGGTCCCTCATGCTGACGGTGTGGAGCTGGGAGGCAGAGAGCGAGCTGCTCATCGAGCGATCTGTTGGGGAGAACATGCGTCAGGAACGGCCTCTTGGCCCCCTCGGCCATGCCAACGTGCCCACCCTGGCCAGCTCTGGCCATTCCAGCTCACCCAGCCCTTGGGTTCCAGGAGGGGCTTTGCCATGAGCTCCCCCATGGCGTGGGAGAGGTTTGGACCACGGTCCTTGGCGCCCTCCATACCCAAACGAGGAGAGCCTTTGCTGCTCGGGCACACCAGAGACAACCAGCAGGCAGACGGTCTGCCTCGGTCATCGTCCCCCTCGTGCCGGGCTGTGGGCAGCCCTGGCAGGCGGCACGGGCCCCCACACGCCCCAGGCATGACGGAGCACAGCAGCCCGGGGGGGACTCCACACGCTGCCACTGCTGCTCTTGGGGTGTAACACTTCGCTCTTGCACAAGCCAGATTTATTCTGAGTCTGACCAAGTTTAACGACATCTCCAATTAGGGTAAGCATGAGTGAGACCGTGAGTGTGCCTCCCTGCTACTCCCTGTTCGGTTTTAATTGCAGCAGTGACTCGTCCCTGACGCTCCGTGAGGGCACGAGCAATGTAACGCAATGTCACGATCAGGAGAGGAGAAGAACAGCGCTCTGCCGAGGCGAAGCAACGCGCACGCTACACATCCTGTGCACGCTGCCTGCAGCGCAGCCGGCTGGGCGGAGCGAGCCAGATGTTCGACAGCAGCACTCAAATCTCACTCTCGGGGTACAATTTAGCTACCAGAGCTGAGGCGTGTCCAACGGACTAGCAGCGAATCTTGGGACAGACCAAGGGGATTGATCTGACCCAAACTGTGAAGCACCGCTGGGTGCTCCTGCTGGAGAGGAACTGGGCCGTCCCCAGTCCAACGGGACGGGAATCTCCTGGGAAGGCTCTTGTGCAGACCCCATAGTACTGCCAAAACCAGCAGGACCCACCTTGTGCTACTTTGGGGATGCTCACCAAAAAAAGAAAGCCCTCCCACACTTTTCTCATGGAATCACATGAGTTACGTGGCTACTGCAGGAAGCAGCATTTCCACATCACTGCAGCAAACAGCCCAAAAAAGTCCTGAATGTCACTGGAAAGAGGTGGAACTGCCTTAAAAGTTAAAAAAAGATAGTGAAATAAAGGGAAAACCCCATATTTCAACAGTAATGAAACCAACAAAAACCACAGGTTGATGGATGTGTTGAAAACTAATAAAGAAAGAGTAACTTAGGATAAGGGCATCAGGAGAAACAATGACCAAGGAACATGCTGACTCACTGCCCAGGAGTTCAGACAACATATGTGGGAGCCGTGACAGCACCCGCCGCGGCAGGAGGGCATGGAGACCCCCCCCAGCATGTCCTGCCGGAGCTGTCGCAACCCGCGGCACCGCGCTACAGGGAGAGACATGACTGTAGGGACTCATCAGCTCCGCTCGCTGCCTCGTTAACAACAGTGGAATTTCAGGATTTAGCCACAGACATCAGGAATGTCACCTCCTGCCATTCTTGCTGCAGCACATCAGCTCTTCGGTCCCACGCAGACTGGCTGGGGGTGACAAGGCTCTAACAAAACCTCCCTGAGCCCCTTGTGCGTGACGCACTGGCTTGGGTGGCAATGTCACGGAGGGAAGGTGCAACCTCATCCCCTTTCCTAAGTTCTTCTGATCAGAAAAATAAAGAGCTTGACCTTTTCTAAGTGCAAAAACTCCAGGGTAACTCAGCAAAACAAACTTGAGCGCTCGAAATCTTCACCTGGCCAGCTTGGGAAGAGAAGCGTTTTCGTGCCAATACACATTTCACCCCCAGAAACGAGCAGCGAGGCAGGACGGTGCCTTCCCCAGGAGCCGCCCTCCCCGCCCGCACTTACTGGGGCTGGAGAGGATGTTGGCATCTTCCTCGTTGGAGCTCAGCAGGCGCATGAGCTTGGAGGGCTGCGTGTCATCCAGCGGGAACAGGCTGATGTAATCCTGGGGGGGGCAGAGGGAGTTCAGACCCACCCGCCCCTCTCTGAGGGGGGATTCTGGCCCCCCTCCCCACGCCTGATGACCCACCCTGGGCTCTGCACAGCCCCATGGCCCAGAACTACGATCACCGTTCACCCAGAGCATCTCAGCCCGGGCCAACTACATACGGACCATCCCATTACAGCCCCCCTTCCCCAGAAAAGAGAAAGGAAAACCCCGTATTTTAAGGTCAAAGGACCTTAAAAGGCAGCCCAGAGAACCTGGGTAGGGAGTCCGGTCTCAACTACCCACTCCTGCCACCATCACCTCCTGCAGACACTGCCCACTCTTGCGCAGAGAGCCTCCAACCAAACCCCACTCCACGCCGGACGCACCTCAATATCCTCTCGGTGCCTCTTCTTCTGCCTGGCGGATGCCTGGCCCTTGTTGTGGGAGGAGTAGGAGCTCAGGGCACACCAGACGGAGAGCCTGGGGACAGAGCGGGGACACTGCGAGGTGCTGCCAGCCCGCCCGGATGACGGCGCACGAGCAAGGGAAGACGGCAGAGCCCAGAGCGTGCGCCGGGACGGGACACAGCAGGTCCCTCCTCGGTGAGAGGCAGCAGGGAACAGGGCCCAGGGCACCAGCACGTCTGCTCCTGTCGGCACTGTGCCGGGGCCGGAGTGGGAACCGGGCAGCTGGGACCCCCGTCCCAGCACAGAGCATCTCCCCATCTCCACAAACAGGCCCACCCACCCCCAAAGGGTGCCCGCGGGTCCGGGGTCTTACTTGGCCAGGGCCTTTCCCGGCGGGTCCATGAGGGTGTGCCACTTGGAGGAGTCCGTGAGCAGGTTGGGCAGGATGTGGCCCAGCAGGGTCAGCGTCAGCTGCTGCATGTCCAGGCAGAAGATGGCATACAGCAGCTCCACGGCCCGCAGCGTGGGCTCCT